GAATATACTAAGTAGAACGACTTAATAGTCGGGAAATATTTCACTGTCGGACCCGGAGTATTTAGGATTTCGTGTCCGAAAGCTCGTGGAAAACATTACAATTCACGGCAGTTACAAAACACTGATATTTCGGTGGTAATCGTACTCTAGCCATGTAAACAACAATAGCATCGCCTAGGATGGTATAGGTCATTCCACTCAATATATTCGAGCTATACCATTCTTGGCGATACTGTTCTTGTTTATATGGCTAAACAAGACGATCTAAGATCGTAAGTCGGGCTACAGGCTTTAAACTTTCAGTTGGACTGATATCTCGCCTCCCAGTTAGCTCAATTGGTATAGCGCCGGACTGTTGTGCGGGAGGTCGAGAGTTTAAATCCGGCCGGACCAACACTCAGGGTCTTTAAATAACTGAGTGGAAAGTGCTGCCTTTGTAATAATTTCTGCAAACGGTTAGACTTTCTAGTCTTCTCGGAAAGGGACGATAAATGGAGGTCCCGTCTAACAACCTCTTATATGTGATTTAAATTTGTGGGACGTTAAAGAACCCACACACTCCTCGAAAAGAGTAGTGCCCGGTGTTGTAGTCTATCCTTGTGCAGTGTCTAACCAGGGTAAATTGGGGGGAGGGGTGGTGCCTCGCATGGACCTTGTGTTCCGTTCGCACTAGCCCTTCCGGGTCTAGTAACACCCGGTAAAGTCGTTAAAACTAAAACTCCAACTAAAAAAAAATCTCGTGTATAAATCTGCCCTTGTTAGACGCCTGTTAATGCCCAAGTTACGATAGAATTTATTTCCTTGGTCAGCTATGCAACTTAGAGTTCTGGAATTCCAATAACTACAAGACTTTGCTACCGACTAACACATGCATAAAGCCCTACTGCAAAGCATTGTTAACAAGAGCAGTTGTGTTCTTCTCTCAAACTGTTCACTGCAATTATTTCATATGTACTAATCTGCACTCCTCTGAGTTAATAATTGTCACTGAGGGAGTGTATAGTCTGGAAATACTGTACTAAGCCCCGAATAGATTGTACTTCTAATAGTACACATGTACCTGAGAGATGGCTTCTAACATATTTGTCTCTTGCATGATAATCAAATGCCTTAAAACGCCCATTATCAGTATGATAGATACTGACACCAACACATTCTACTTTCAGAATAGTTGAAGAGTACTTTTGTGACAAGAGTGATTCAAAAGCCCTGTCTATAGACATGCTGTACTGATATCCCTCAACCATTGAATCACAATGATGCAGATTACCAGTGTAGCTTTCGCTATAATTAAGCTGGTAATTTTTTTCGGACAAAGCAATCATTGACGGTGATTCTGTTTGCATTAAATACATCTGCCCTGCACATTGTGACAATGTTGAATACAATTGATTACCCTCTCCAAAATTTGTACCAGTTCACTACAGATATGTATTCCTTTTCTCTTATTATAAATCAAAGCAATCAAACTCATAACAACACATTATTTTCCAGCATTTTCACAAAGTACATAATATTACCTTGACTATATGGTGCCTTGATTGTTAGAGTAGGATCACAATCGAATCGTCTTCGCACATGGTATTCTATCACCATTGTTAATATTACAACGATTAACAAACATCGCATAACGAGAGTTGAATTCTTTTGCACAATTCTGTTATTTCTTTTGCAACATCATTTTTTTTGTACACACAACGCTGATTCGTCACACTTTTGTTGTATACATGGCACTACTTTGTCCAATACATCATCATATCCGACACCACGTTAATTGGTACCAAACAGACATTCCTGCGCAAGAATATGCGAATATAATATACGCACAAAAGCGACAAAACTAATGGAACAAGTAGAAAAAAATAACAGCTGAACATGTACTCTGTTTGAGCCAAAACAACAAATGTAAGCTTAACAATCACGGTCAAGGTCACATAGATATAACTATTACGTTTATCCTCACTCTGATGAAAGTCCAACATGGCATCTAGAGTTTTGTCACGAGGCACCTTGGTTTTATTTGCAAATGTTCTTCTGTCACTCTGTCCACATTTAACTCATTTGATTTCTGGTTTGATTCTACTGAGACCTTCGATCATCTGATTCTTTTGCTATTTTGAGTTCGCGGAACGACCCGTTTCGAAATATACGCTCAATACACACGCCATCTTTTAGAGTGGGTCTACCGCGAATAGTGTGTGGGTCTGTATGTTTGAGCATAGAAAAGATGACACCATTCGCTAAGATATTCAGTTCGACAAATCCGCCATGTTCGACATGGTGGAAAGAAGATTGCGCCTCTATTACATGTCTGCGGTATTCCCCATTGCACGTGACTGAGCTTTGTGGAGAAACCCGAGGGTAAACCTATAGTCGGTCGCCCGACTAATTATTTTACTAGCCGTTCGTTATGTAAGTACTGTACATAAAATTACTGTATTCAGTACCTCCGGACACGTCATTCAATTAGGTCTCGCTTCATCAGCTGACCCCACGCGACCTAATTTTGAGTGGGAAATGAACTGATCGCAGGAGATTTCCAAAGCCAAGCGTGTTATATATGCGCAGTAGAGGAGAAAAAAAAATAGAAGGTAGGACCACGCATTTGTTCCTGTTTATTTGGGGTTGTAAATGGAGCTGAGCTCAGGCTTGACGATACTGTACACTCCATAAACGCCAGAACTCGAGAAAGAAACGTATGTTACTGTTGTCTGGGAGCCGAATGGAGGTTGCCGTCAGTAGTTTTTTGTCTCTCTCTCCGGGCAAATCGACTATTTAGAAATTTGAATATGTTGACGGGTTTCACTAAAATCTCCTGACCAAAAATCAGAAAATCTGTGCTTGCCGTTTGAGCAGGTGATGGGCTCCAGTTTTGAGATATTGTGCAAGAGGTGTATGTCTACCTAATTTGATTTCGGGAATGGGAGGTGGGCGCATCAGTCAATTTCTGCTCATGCCACCCTGGAACGACCCTCGGGAATTAAAAGAAGAATCAAAAGATAGAATTGTAAGATAGTCCAATGCACCGGGGTAACTTGGTGGAAGGCATATGACTGTGTGGGACAATGTCCCACTAACAGGCAGGAGAGGGGAGGGTGAGCGCAGCTGGAATTGACTAGTGCATTAAAACAGATCAACCTGAATGTCGCTGGAGCTTATTTGATCCCTAAGTGATGCCACTTTAAATGTTGGCTTAAATTCAGCAAATACAGACATTACAATTTTCCTCTTTCTGGCTCTGGCACCGTGACAGCTTGTTTCAACCTGCAACTATAAGAGATACATTGTACCTTTACGACACGTCTCCGCCAGTTGGAAGATGTAGCGGAGTACTGGAGTTTGGGCAGGGAGGTATCAATATCTGCCCAGACGGAAAG